CAAAAACATGATAATATATAATATAAGTAACATTTCCCATTACTCCCAAATCTATTGGGAAAGGAAATTAAGAAAGGGTGGAGGAGGGCGGTAATCAATAACAACAGTAGCTGAATTTTCCCTTTGGTTATTAACATTCAAACAAGATATTTCGGTAAGCTTTCGTGTGTGTGTGTGTGTGTGTGTTGGTGAGTGCCTACATGCGTACTTGCGCATGTTTATGCATCTATCTACGTGTGTAACCCACCCAATTATGCTATACAAGGACAAATGATGATAGTGATTATGATGACGACAACAAGTGTGCCAGTAAAAAAAATCAATAATTCAACATTAACACACATAGAACACCACAACCAGCTAATTACATAGGATGGACATAATTTCTGAAAACTAGGACATACATATTGGAAATGTCTTTGTTGAAGAGAGACGGAGAGAGAGAGAGTGATTGGAAGGGGAGTGATTACGTCAACCAGCGAATCAATCAATCAATCAATCAGTATGGGGGTAAGAAAGAAAGCGCTATCAGGCTTCTATGTTAGTTTTCATTGATTTCCAATTATGCGTATATCAAGCATATCGATCAGATGTCATGATCTGAACAGATGTTGGTTTCTAAATGGGAACGGAGATAATTTCTCACCTCCAACTGTGTAATCCTGTAAATGATAAGTTTTATTTTATGTGTCACAATATATATATATATATATATATATATATATATATATATGTCTATACCAAGTTCATTTTTAACAGTTTGGAAACATTTGGGTATTGGGTATATGATATTCATTATATTAAAGACTTATTTTGTATTTCCCAATGAATGAAAAACAAAACGATATTTTTCATAGCTGGTTTGTAAGGATTATTATTATTATTGTATCCTTTAATTCCTAGAGGAACATAGGGCTTCATCCACACGTCTCCATTGCGTTCTGTTCTCTGATAGAGTCTTCACCTGGCTCCAAGTCTGCCCACACGTTTTCATCTCCTCTTCACATGACCTCCGCCAAGTCACCCTTGCACTGACGACCAACTCGCCGCTTCCCTTTCGGGTTCCACTCGAGCAATGGCTTGTCTAGTGATGTCACTTGATGATTTGTTTCCTCAGAGTATGGCCAACCCACTTGGATTTCTTCCTGCCTATTTGTTTCACAATCGGTTCCTGGTTGGTTCGCTCCCAAAGATCCCTGTTGCTGATCTTTTCTGGCCGGCCATCTGATCTTCAGTGGTATTGAGCGAAGACAACTGTTAATGAAGGTCTGTAGTTTGTTTGAGATGCTCTTTATGACGCGCCAAGTCTCTGATCCATATAGTAGCACTGATTCCATCTCGGAGTTGAAAATCTGGATCTTATTTTTGATGCTGAGTGCTGTTGACCTTCACACAGACTTGAAACTAGTGAAAGATTGTCTTGCTTTTCCGATTCTTGCTTTGATATCCTCATCAGTTCCGTCTGCCTGTAGTTGAAACGTTGCTTCCAAGGTAGGAAAGAGGTTGTTTCTTCAGGTCCCTCCCATTTATGCTGGCTGATTGTTGTCTGTTGTTGTTGTTGCTGTTGGTGGTGTTGCCCAGGAATTCTCATCACCTCTGTTTTATCTATGTTCACCTGAAGTCCTATCTTTGATGCTTCTTCTGCTAACTTGTTGCTTTTCGCTTGCATATCTTCCAGTTTGTGGGAAATCAGACATATATCATTGGCGAAGTCCAGATCCTCCAAGTATTTTTGTGTTGGTCCATTTTATTCCTGTTTCCTCATTTCCTACTGTTTGTCGCATTATCCAGTCTTCTGCCATCAAGAAAATCATTGGCGATAGTAGGCAGCCAGCCTTGTCTTACTCCTGTCCTCACTTCGAAGGGTTCTGTAAGTTTCCCGTTGTGGATTACTTGGCATGCAGCATTTTCGTATAGCTGTTGGATGAGATTTATTATTGTCGGTGGCACCCTGTAGTAGCGAAGTAGTTTCCAAATCACCTCTCGATCGGCGCTGTCGAAGGCCTTTTCAAAGTCGATGAAGTTGAGATAGAGAGGTGACTGCCACTCCAAGCTTTGTAAGGATTAGTTCTGTTTTTATGAATTGATCATGGATTAAAATCAGTTAGAGAACCATTGAAAATCAACCAAGGAGTACTGCACATCTGCAGGACGCACCTACCACAAGGGGTTCGAACCCAGGACCTTCCGGTTACAATACAAGGTTGCTCGTGTACCATTCATTCACTGAGACCCGATTCAATGGTCAGCGCATGAATTCTGACTTCTACCAATTCGTGATTTAGCGCGACTGCCATAAACCAATGTCATCGGTGGGACATCTATTCTCACACGTGACGTCTGGATGGACCTCACTGGTCACGACTTCTCACTAGAACTCCAGGAAACTCCGTCCTGTAGCCAGCCAGTCACTAGCGAGCATCAGATTAATTTTCTATAGTTTGGTTTGTAAGGGTTAGTTTTGTTTATACGAGTTGATCACGGATTAATATCAGTTAGAGAACCAATGATATTCATCATAATAAAGGTTTCTTGCATTTTCAAAAGAATGGATACTGAACAAAGAATATTCTTTTCGATAACCTGCTCTTCATCATCAGGCTCTACAGTTATATATCCATCCATAATAGTGAATGAACGAATTAGTGTTATGAACAACATTAATGTTGCTGTTTAACTAACATCGAATCAATAATATTGATAGATTACAGCTCAATAGCATCAACATAAAATAAGCTGAATGTCAGAAAAGCAAATTAGGAAAGATAATATTACAAATTCATGAATTTGTAGTCTCTACTGAAGGTTGGCCAGGGCAGTATTAGCGGCTAGCTGGACTTTCTTCTTTAGCGCACAAAGCACTGGTTGTTTGAGGCGAATTGCAATAGCCTCTGTTGTTTGGAGCATGCGGTACCTCGATGTTTTTAGCAATTTATTAAGCACTCGGTAGATGGTGATTGAGAAGGATTCTTCCACGCTGGCTGCTTTGTGGCTGGTCTGGACTAGATGGTCCAATGTCGAACTGTTGGTGATGGTTTTCACTACACATTTACTTAACCATACTGGGAGATATTCCCGAGCGAACACGAAAAATCAAGTTCCTAGAGCAACGGCCGATATAACTTGCTTCACCACAAGAGCAGTTGAATTGGTAGATACAATTTAAAGTGGCTAGTCTAGGTACTACATCTTTCAGTCGAGGTAGCACCATCAGTTGTGTAGAGAATAAAACGTGTAGTTCGCCAGCATTAAAAGTTCTTTGAACTGATTTTCTTAATTTCTTCGTAATTATTTCACTTGGTATATCGCCCTTGAATTACAGTCGTATATAAAGTGGCTTCTTGTTTACAGATAGTGAGTAGTCCTTTTCCGCTTTCTTTGTCATGTGTTTCTTGATAAATTTTTCGGGATAGCTATTTTCAATCAAAGTATCATATACAATGCTTAATTCATCTTCAATTACTTCTTCTGAGCATATAGCTCTAACTCTGTGGCCAAGTGAGGGGCTTTACTAAATTTTGTATTTCCCAATGAATGAATGAAAAACAAAACGATATTGATGTTTTTACTGCCGTCTCGCTATTTAATGCTGCTGCTAATATCTTTATCAAAGTAGTGATATTAAACCAGAATTTACAAAATCCGCTTAGCTTATATATATACAGTAACTTAATCATCGTTCATCAGCATGGGGGCATTTTTGTGTTGACCAAATCCCTAAAGATTCTCTATGTAATTGTGTCTATAAAATAAAATGCTTGATTGGAATGTGATGCGATTTACGTCGGATAAACATCGCCGGAGAGAAATCAAGCTTATCAGAAGAAATGAACATCGTAGAGCCGCCTCTGTTCGACCAACTACCGAGGAATCCAGTTGAACTAGAAAAGCTTGAAAAATCATCAGCCATAGGTGGTATACACAGTATAGAATCAGGTCACAAAATTGATTTTGACAATATTGAAATCATCATCCAGAAAAAGCATTTCAGAAATCACAAAGAATGTCTCATTTCATCATCCGTGGATATCCACGGAATTTCATCAAAAGACATATACCCACAAGCCAACCTATTAAACCAAGGAAATCACAAAGAAAATCGCCTTACCTTATATAAAGGATACCTCAAAAATCACTACAAGACTCTTCAAACCTTTAGGAATTGACGTCGTACACAAACCAACAAAGTCACTTCACTCAATTCTATGTCAACCAAAAGACTCAACAGCGAAGGAAGATAAAACCAACATCATCTACAAAATAAATTGTATCAACTGCGAAAAACACTACATTGGCCAAAGTGGACGGCGTCCCCTTCGTCTTCGTATCCGAGAACATAATCTAGCCGTGAAAAGACATGATATCCACTCCCTCATATCACTTCATACAGACAACCACAGACATCAATTCGACTGGGACAATGTTCAAATATATGACAGAGGAAACAACAAGAATGCTAGAGAATTTTTAGAAGCTTGGCATTCCAGTGAATCATCAATCAATAGACACATCGAGATAGACAAAATTTATCAACCGACAAGAAGGAAACCTCACACACACACAAAGGGTCAAAGTTCAAGTGAAAGAAAAATCAGTTCCAATACAAGTAGCCTAGAAGGTGTGAAAACACACAAAACCAAGCAATCACGTCCAAGGTCACCGGAAGAGATGATTAATAAACTCGTGGAGAAATCTAAAAGCTCACTTCAACAAATTGAAGTATGCATTGAAGATGTTGCCTAGTGGCAGGGCGATGAAAGCTTCGCAAATTAACTATCCAGCTCAGAGAACACAACCACATCAAAAACTTATCAAATCCAACAATCTGCACACATGGTTTTGTTATCTTTACAATTGGCTGACTTGACAACAACGCAAAAAGGACCCCAGGCTGATAATCTATCCCTAACACTACCTATGTGTGTATTATATCAGATAAACAGTTCGCAAATTCTATTTTTACCATTAAGAACGGAAACAGATCAATAAAGTTGACTAACCTGTGTAAGTATTGTCATCAGACTGTCTTCACCACAAGCTTCTTGGATTAATTCACACAATTGGTCAGGTGACAATGGTGCATCAATTACCTTTTCACGTGGTTCTGGCGGTAGACCAACTGTTACTTGTTTTTGCAGAACTAAAATATCAGCCAATGATTTAGCTAAGGTATCAGCACGTTTCCCCAGTAGACCAGCTGTATACCGTAACAGAAACCATGATGTTGTTTGAGTGGCTCGTTCATACACCTGGAGAAGAAAGAAAAGGAATTGACAAAAAAGGCAAGAAAGAACGATTTCAATATTGCGAAAATATTCATTCAGACATCGATAAAACACAAAAATAATTATTGAGCAAAGAATATCCTTTTTGATAATTTCCTCCTCTTCCCGCTCTACAATTATATATGCATGTTTATATACATAGAATATTCTAGAATAGTAGTCAATAACAATATTAGTGTTTTTTAAATAATATCGATTTCATAGTGGGTTTCATCATGAGCTGACATCAGTTAGAGAACCACTGGAAAACCAACTGGGAGTACTGGACAGCTGTTTCGTCCTAGTTTGAGACTCTTCATCAGCACGCACCCACCACAGGAAGTTCAGACCCAGGACCTTCTGGTTACAAGGCTAGTGAGTTCGTAGACCATTAGGCCGCTGGGACTCAACCCAGTGACCTATGAATTCTAACTTCTGTCAATTCATGAAATAGTGCGACTGATGCTCACCAGCGACTGGCCCTATTCAGGCAGTGACGTGGGATTCTAGCAGGAAGCCAGGTTTTCCAGTGGTTCTCTAACTGATGTCAGCTCATGATGAAAACCTCCGTGCAATCAAGCAAAATTCCTACAAAACCAACGCTTGAAAATTAATATCGATTTGTAAAGTAAGATCACGGTGGAATTACAGTTCATTAAAGATGATTAAATTATTATAATAATAATATAGTAGCGAATAGAATATCAACTAAAATTAGGAAAATTCCACAGAAATTGTGGATCATCTAAACCTAGATGGCCAAGCGGGTAAGGACTGAACTAACTTCCTTTAGACACACAAGTTTGGCTTCTTAATATGGATCCCAACAGCCAGCCTCAGCAATATTTAGTAATCGAACTCTAAAGGCGAAATTGAGATTATTTCGTTGGTATGCGGTAAATGACTTTGAAAGCTGCCTCGTTAACATCAATCTAATGTTCTGTATCCACAAGATGAGATAGAATAGCACTATGAATAGATTTTGTTTGGCCTTCACTTAACTACTATGCAGGCTGATGTTCAGAAATCCGATGAGAAACACGCCTGGTTGTACGGCCTATGCAACTGGCTCACTCCACAGGAGCATTTGAATTGGTAGATACACATGGAAGAGGCGAAATTAGGCAGTTTATCTTTTACTCCCGAACGCAAAAGAGTGGGTGGTTTTGAAGACACAGCGTAAATTAGCAGCAGTGAATGTTCTTTTCACCCCAAATCTAAGGCGTTGTGTTATTATCTCGCTGATGTTGTCCTCAAGGAACTGCATTTATAAGAATAAGGCCCTTTCAAGAACTATCGGTACCTTGGGCTGCCTTGATTTTAGATTCATATTCTTATCAATAAACTTTTCTGGATAACCGTTTTCACTCAGCAACCATTTAGTAGTATTAAGTTCCTCATCAAGACATTCATCCGAACAGATTGCTGTTGCTCTGTGGCGGACCAAGCACTTTATCAGATTGCGTTTGTATTTTTCAAGGGCACGAAGCTGTAAACAATGAGTATACTGACCCGTTGATGGCGAACAACTCTAACTACTTTGAGGATGACAGACAGAAATATAAAAATATTATATATATATATGTCATTCTTGGCTGCTCAACTGGTCGTCTCTGATTCAGGTTCCTCTCGAGGGCCACTGATGTCACTCAACGGTCGCCTCAAACGTGTAAATCCAGTTCATCGCAATTTTTCTGCACATTTGTCAACTGATAAGTTCTCTACTGAACCGCTACTTGTCAGAGTTCCTTGTTATTTATCTTTCCCTTCTGGTCATCTTATCTTCAATATCGAGCAAACACGAAGGCAGCTGTTGGTGAATACCTGCAGCTCATGGTAATGTCCACAGCTTTCGCTCCAATGATCTGTTTAAACACTATTCAATAATATTCAAGTGTTGGTCTATAGGGATTTGATTGGTTACAGGATTTTCATCATGAGCTGACATTAGTTAGAGAACCATTGGAAAACCTGGGAGTACTGGACAGCTGTGTAGTCGCACTAGTTTGGGACTCTTCGGCGGTACGCACCCACCGGGATTCGAACCCAGGACCTTCTGGTTACAAGTCGAGCTTGCTCGTAGACCGTTAAGCCACTGGGACCCGATCCAATGGCCCATGAATTCTAACTTGTGCCAATTCACGACATAACGCGACCCCTAGCCATTGTCTTCGGCGAGTATTTGTCCTCACACCTGACCTACAATCCAACACTTGAATATCAATGAGATGCTCACTAGCGACTTGCCCTATTCAGGTAGGTAGTTACCCGGGGTTCTAGTGAGAAGTCGTGACCAGTAGGGTGCAGCAGGTCGGGTGTGAGGACAAATACTCGCCGAACACATCGGCTAGGGGTCGCGCTATGTCGTGAATTGGCAAAAGTTAGAATTCATGGACTGGCCATTGGATCGGGTCCCAGTGGCTTAATGGTATACGAGCTCGCCTTTTAACCAGAAGGTCCTGGGTTCAAACCCCTTGGGTGCGTACTGTGAAGAGTCCAAAAGTAAGACGAAACAGATGTCCAGTACTCCCAGGTTTTCCAATGGTTCTCTAACTAGTGAAAATTATTCAATAATGTTTCGAAATCATGTGAAATTATTTACGATAAACATACCATCGTTTCATTGATTCAATAAGTATAAAAAGTGAAACTAAACCATTGAAGTGCATGTTGAGGTAAGCGAACTTAATAGCCTCAAAGCCAAGAAGCCCCGGATAGCTTGTTTTCTCCTGGTTCTTGAGCTTGACGCGCTATTCGATTGTCACGCTACATTTACTAAGTTACATAAAACTCCTATTTCTCTGGCGTTTCTTGCCAAAAAGTTGTGGAACGTATAGGTAATTATTTGCCTTTCGAACACTGAATCTGTGGATATAATCTTGTTGACCGATAATACCTATAATTATCTGCTTCCCATTTTGTGACTTTCTATAGACACTAACTAATATCTATAATTGTATATATGTATTGATGGATTTACATGTCTAAGTCGGCTCAAGTCAGTGAGTCTATGATTTTGGTATCATTTTTGTTAACTGTATCTGACTGTGATATTAATATTGTTGTTGTCGCTTGTTACCCTTCTTGTTGTGAATTATTTTCCTGTGCTGGTGTTGTTCTGATTGCTTTATTCCTTATTAGGATCCCACAAGATCGCTTCTCTGTAAACTTTATTTTAATGTAAGAACCCCCTTCTCCGGCGTGAGGCTAGCAATCCCACCCTGTAAATAAAGTTGCTACAGAAACTTCAGTAAGATGAATCTCCTTGCGCCAAAAGAAAAAGTCTTTGTGGGGACATGGAATGTCCGCACCATGTACGAGATTGGCAAAGCTGCCCAGATTGCAAACGAGATGAAAAGATACAGAATTCAAGTACTGGGAATATATGAAAGCAGGTGGGATGGCTGGCGCTTCATTAAGAGCACCTCAAACAAACTACAGACCTTCATCAACAGCTGCCTTCTCTAAATACTCAAGATCAGATCAGGGATCTCTGGGAGCGAACCAACAAGGAACCGATTGTGCAACAAATAAGCAGGAAGAAATGGAGGTGGATTTGCCATACTCTGAGAAAATAAACCATCAATTGACATCACTATACAAGCCCTCTAGTCGAACTTGAAAGGGAAGCGGCGAGTTGGTCGTCATTGTGAGGGTGACTTAGAGGAGGTCATGTGAAGAGGAGATGAAAGCATGTGGGCAGACGTGTGAATCCAGGTGAAAATCTTAGCAGAGAACCGAACGCAATGGAGACGTGCAGCTGAAGCCCCATGTTCCTCTAGGAATTAAAGGAAACAATAATAATAATAGTTCTTGACCCTTCATCAGTCAATATACAAGATCTCATGAATTCTGACTTTTGTCAGCTCACGATCAGGCGCAACCATAAGCCATTGCCGTTTACTTCATACCTGGCAAAGTGGACTCCATCATGCCTACATGACTTAATAAGAAGTCGCGGTCAGTGGATAGTATGAAACATTCAACAGTTGAATAACCAACGAGCTTATTTCTTAATCTCTAGGTCCCAGGTTCGAGTTCTAGTGCCGTAACAGATACACTGTTGAAGAGTCCCAAAGTAGGACGAAAGCAAAAATATACACCATTTTTTTTTCAAGATTTTTCCTCATGAATAAATAAATATATACATATATATATAAACAAACCTCTTTTAGTAGAGATCTAACAGTAGCTGGTTGTGTCGGGTCTATCCCAGTATTCCAATCCAATCCTTGTAATTGATGTAGTCGACCAAGGAGTTCAACTTGTTCAGCTAAATTATCTGTACATCTTAATCGTTTAACTAACTGTTCCGGTGTTGAGGAATTTAACCAATCTGTATATTCTATACCACTACTACCACCGCACAGGCTTGATTTACCATCTGATGTCCGTCGACTATGTGTACCGGAATGTGGTGGACTATTTGTCGGTGTTATTTGATCTGAAGACAGACAAGATGAACTTGAACGTTGGTGTTGTTGACTTGTAGGTGTATAATTTACGTCTAACTGTTGTTGCTGTTGCTGTTGTTGTTGTGATTGTTGTCGATCTTGTGAATATTTGATTGTAGGATGTTGATTCAACGTTGATGCAATAGATGGACTATTCTCTGGATTTATAATCCGTTTTAACGCTAAACGTGATGCATTCGACGTTAAATCTTCATTTTTAGCGGGTAATAGACGACAGTTTCCATCATCTAGACACAAATAAAAAAGCAAATGAAAGATAAAAAAGCAATTGGGTGAAGTTTAAGAATAGCCTCCCAAGAGGGAGCGAATGATGCTCAAATGACCTTGAATGTATGCTAGTGGTTGGCTGAAGAATCCTACGATTTTTTGAAATAATAGAGAAGATTTGTAGCTCAGGTGGATGATTTGCAATTAATAGTGTTCTCTTAGCAAGGTTGGTTTGGTTGTGGAGCTTTCGTTGTCCTTCTGAACAACATCCTCCTTCAGTGCAATATTTATGCTAAACCAACCAGCTTAGAGAACACTATGAATTGCGAATCGTAGGATTATTCTACCGTGAAAATGAACGCTGTTCATCTGATCAGATAATGGATTGATAGGATGTACTCGTATATGTAGTTCCGGTGTTTCAATGAGCCTGTAACAGTATTCACAGGTCATTATTATTGTTCCCTTGGGTTCCTAGTGGAACATAGGGCTTCAACTGCACGTCTCCACTTGCTTCTGTCTTTTGCTGTACTTTTCACTTGCATCCATGTTATTCCATACTGTTTCAGTTCCTCTTCACACGATCTCCTCCATGTCACCCTTGGACGTCCCACTCGCTACCTCCCTTTCGGGTTCCACTCGAGCGTTGGCCTGACACGCGATGTCACCCAGCGGCCTCCTCAGCGAGTGTCCAATCCATCTCCACTTTCTCCTGCATATTTGTTGGGCGATTGGTTCTTGTTTTGTTTGTTCCCATAGTTTCTTGTTGGTGATTCTTTCCGGCCATCTGATCTTCAGTATAGAGCGAAGATAGTTGTTGATAAAGGTCTGCAACAGGCTGTTGGAAATATTCTTTGTGACCCACCAAGTTTCTGATCCGTAAAGAAAAATACTGACTTGACGTTTGTATTGAAAATCCGAATTTTGTTGTTGAGTGTTGCTGAGTGACGAAGATTTCCAGATTGGTTTCAGGTTGATGAATGTGTTTCTCGCCTTCCCGATTCTCGATTTGACATCCTCGTCCGTTCCTCCTGTAGTTGAGACAATGCTCCTTAGATAAGTGAATGAAGTAACCTCTTTCAAATCCCTCCCGTTGATGGTGATTGGCGCTGGATGTTGCTGCTGCTGTTGTTGTTGTTGGTTCACAGGTCATTGATGGATATATATTTAGATGTATAGGGTGTAGGAAACGGAAGAGGGTTCGTACTGGTAAATGACACTCTCAGTTAATTGTCTTCTAGGAACTTTCTTTGCAAAATCGAAACTTTCTTTGACGAATATACTGTTTCTTTGTCATTAGTGGATTTTGAAGTCCAGAGTGAGGTCAACACTGCCATTCAGACAGATAATACGTTGACGTCTACTGTGCAGTGGTTTCAGTTTTGTCGAGATTTAGCCTTATGGAAAATGAACAATATTACACAAGTGTTGGGAGGTGTCGGTGTTATCGTTCACATCGACGAAACAGTGCTTATAAAGGAAGGAATACAATCGCGGACGTGCTAGAGCTAACAACGTTTGGGTATTGGAATTTATGACACTCATATTGAGGAAGGATTCATTGAACTTATTCCAGACAGGAGTGCCGACACTCTTCTGCCTATTATTCAAAGACTCGTTTTGCCTGGCACTACTATACACAAGGATGAACAGGCAGGATATAACCGATTATCGGATTTAGGATATATACACAACCGAGTTAACCATTCCGATGATTTCGTCGATCCCAAAACAGGCACTCATACTCATTCAATAGAGGGTTTCTGGGGAAGATTAAAAAATAGAATAAGAGCAATAACTAACTCTCAAAGCCGAGTTATTTTTAGTCACCTAGATGAATGCTTGTGTAGAAATTGGTTTTAGTTTAAAAACTGACACTCCCCATCAAAATTGAGACATATTTTTTTATTTCATATCAGAGAAAAATACACTATTTAATGTTTTTTTTTCAAGCTTTTTTATGTAAAAATACATAATGTTTTGTGCAAAAATCGCTCATTTGTCTGATTGGTCGGCTCAAGGTCACTCGTGCGTTCGCATCCCTTGGGAGGCTATTGTAGATCCATGCCAACAATTGAACAAAAGAAAATTAAGTTTCTTTAAAATAAAAATGTGGAGGAATTACTTGAACCTTGATATTAGTCTTACTGACCATGGATTCAGTCCGTGACCACCAGTCTGGCTGTGAGTCAGTCACCTACGCACCCTTATTCAAATTCATTAGAATAAAAATGTGGCTTGATGAGGAACTTAATAATATTAAATGGTTGCTGAGTGAAAACAGTTATCCAGAAAAGTTTATTGATAAGAATATGAATGTAAAATCAAAGCTGCCCAAGGTACCAACAGTTCCTAAAATGGCCTTATTTCTTACAAATTCAGTTCCTCGGGGATAACAGCGAAATACTAACACAGCGCCTTACAAAAACGGCAGTAAAAAGAGCATTCCCTTCTGCTGAATTACGCTGTGTCTTCAAAACCACCCACTACTCTTATGAGTTTGGGAGTAAAAGATAAACTGTGTGATTTCACCTCTTCCATATGTATCTGCCAATTTAACTGCTCCTGTGGAATGAGCCAGTTACATAGGCGTGTTTCTCGTCGAACTTCTGAACATCAACCCGCATAGTGGTTAAGTAAAGGTCAAACAAAATCCATTCGTATTGCTATTCCATCCCATCTTGTGGATACGGAGCACAAGATTGATGTCAACGAGGCAACGTTCAAAGTCATTTGCCGCATACCAATAAATCTTAACATCGCCTTAAGACTTCATGTGCTAAATATTGTTGAGGCTGTTGGGATCCATATTAAGAGGCCTAATTTATGCATCTAAAGGTAGTTGGTTCAGACATTATCCTTATCCGCTTGACCATCTAGATTTGAATGATCCTGAATTTTTGTGGAATTTCCTTAATTTTATTTGATATTCTATTTGCTACTATATTACTACTATTATGATTATAATATAAGCATCTTTAATGAACTGTGATTCCATCTTGATCTTACTTAACAAATCGATATTATTTAAAAAACACTCCAATATTGTTATTGACTACTATTCTAGAATATTCTGTGTATATAAACATATATATATAATTGTAGCGCCAGAAGAGGAAATTATCGAAAAGGATATTCTTTGCTCAATTATTTTTTGTTTTATAAAAATATGTGTTCGAGTTGTGTGACACTCATCGGAACGATAGAGACAATAGTAAAACGGAAAAACATAAGGGTTTAAGGAATACGCAAGAACGCTTTACAGCCCTTATTACTGTTATTATTATTCCTTTGGGTTCCGAGTGAAACACACTGCTCCAACAACACGTCTGCATTTTCTTTTATTTTCTGCCATCCTCTTCAGCTGGGTCCACGATTGTCAATAATCTCTCATCTCCTCCTTCTCCTCCTCCTCGCCACACGATCTCCTTTATGTCACGCTTGCATAGGGCACCCACTCGTTGCTTCCTAATTAGATTCCACTTGAGTAATAGCCTGCATTACGCGCAATGTCACTTGATGACCTCCTCAATGGCGTGTGCGCAACCCATCTCCATTTTCTTCTACACATTCGTTAAGTAATCGGCTCTCGTCTGTAGTTTTTTGTCAGAGTTTCTTCTTGCTAATTCTCACTGGTCGACCAGCTAGCCATTTGATCTTCAGTATAGAACGATGGCAGTTGTTGATCAAAGTCTGCAACAAGCTGTTGGAAATCATTTTCGTTACACAGTGCAAGTTTCTGACCCGTAAAGAAGGTTCAACTTGACATTAGTGTTGAAAATCCTAACCTTGTCTCTTTGGCTGAGTGCGGGAGATTTCCAAACTGGTTTCATGTTGATGAAGGCGTGTCTTGACTTTCCGATTCTGCCTGACTTTAACATTTTCATCCGTTCTGACCGCCTGTGGTTGAAATGATGTTATCTGGCCAGATAAGTGAAGGAGGTCACCTCTGTTAAATCTCTCTCGTTGATGGTGATTGGTGCTGGTTGTTGTTGCTGTCGTTGTTGCGGTTCTTTAGTTATCATCATCACCTCTGTCTTCTCTATATTCAGCAGGAGTTCTATCTTTGTTACCTACTTCTTCAGCCAGTTTGTTGCCTTTCGCCTGCAAGTCTTTGAGTTTGTGTGACATTAGACATATATCACCTGCGAAATCCAGATCTTCTAGAGTCTTCTGATCGGTCATCCAGCGTATTTCCAGACATATTCATCATCAACAGTCGTCTCAAGGCACTGGTTCTTAACAGCCCAATGATCCTAAACCAAGCAGTCTACACATATCTCCATTCACCTTGTTACTGAAAGTCACAGTGTCAAACACCTGATGCAATATCTTTTAGTTTTGTCACCACCTTTACATGGTGGTTTGAGCTGCACATGGGGTACAATATATTATTGTTCAGCCTTTCTTTCTTTCTATGTCCTTTCGAATTAAAACGACGAATAAAAAATTAATTATTCAATGAAATACAATGAAGATGAAATTCTACAAGATTAACAATCGTTCTTCGTCTTCGTCTTTTTCTGAATTAACTAACCATCATCTGTTTGTGCATCTGTTGAATCATCGATTTCAGACGGCCAATTATTCGCCTCCGCTTGTGAATCATTGGTCCATTCCACTAAATCAAAAGAAAAATAAGGACGTATATATATAGATACACATATTCAAAGTCTATCTGAAAGAAGAATATTCTTTTCAATAAATTCTCCTTTTCAGTGTTGTATAGTAATATTAACTGATGACCATGTTTCGAGCACAAATTATTGCCACTCATAATCATATCAAGATAATACTCACATAACATTTCCCTTCATTTATATACATGAGTGGAAATAAAATAAAAATAATGGGGAAACTAGCAGTGATAACATAAATAAGAGAGAAAATAAGTCATCTTCTATATATACCATATAAGAAGGGGACATCTGAGACCCTACGTAGTAGGATTCTAAATAAAGCAGAAATTAGGGTGGTGGCATTCAAACCTACAAACTCACTCGGGTAGGACAAGCTCTGTAGGTTAAAGGACCCTGTCAGTTGACCCAATTAGAGAAAATAATATAATCTACAAAATACCCTGCAATGACTTTGAGGTCAACTATATAGGTGAAACTAGTAGATCGGGGATAATCAGATTGTCGGAACATAAGAATTTAGCTAAGGGAAGAATGGTTGACCCCGAGAAGATAAGTAATTTAGAAAACAGCTCAGCAATTGCAATGCATGCATTAGCACACAACCACACAATAGGGTGGGTGGGAAAGTGTCAAAATTCTAAAAAGTAATCTATGTAAGTGGAGAGAGAGATTGATTACAGAATCCAGCCTGGTTCGTTGTGTCTACACCCAACACAACACTTGCAACAGAAATGACTCAATGCAAATACCACAGATATGGAAGATATTATCACGACCAGTCAGTCAAATCAGAGGAGGATAATAAATAATCTCAAAATTCTATTTCAATTCACGTACATCACAACTTTCTAACAAATTACTTATTATGACTATAAAAACACTCGTCTTATTTACCATCTGATTGTAATTGATCAATAACATTCATATTATTATTATTTCTGAATTTACATTATCCCATATTGATTTTACTCGAACATCTGGTCAATTCCACACATGAATATAAATGAAGGGAAAAGTTGTGTAATTGACTTGATATGATTATGAGCAATAGTTTGTGCTCGAGACGTCATCAGTTCATATTACTATGTGATTTATCAAAATAAAATCTTATTCATAATGGAGTTATACTCTGCCACCACAGTGCCAAAGTTTTATACTTATATCAATTCTCCTATTCGGGTTTTTACAGTGATAAAATATCGTTACAATAAATAGGCAGTTACATGGTGTTTGGTAAATTATGGTACCTATCTTAATTGAATCTGTCGGGTCTTTAGGCCGACAAAGTTTATCTTTGAGAGAGTTGGTTAATGGGTTGCTTGGTTGGTTGGTTTAAATGCCACCCTGACTAATTCCAGCCCTACGCAAGACCTCTGATGTTCATTCTTTGTACGACAGCACTACAGGGGCTTTGAATTGTCTATTATTTTTAATTATTTTTGTCATTTTCATTACTAATAAATTTTTTCTATGGTTCTTAATACATTTCTGAATAAATTCTGGTGGGTAGTTATTTACCACATTACATTAGTGATATTCTCCAGGAAAAGAGAAGGCAAGATACACCTTCATCAACCCAAAAACCAGTTTGGAAATCTTCTGCACTCCCTCACTCAGCCAGCCAGTCAGCATAAACAACAAGATTCGGATTCTGTTCAACACAAATTTGAAGTCAGTAGGTCAGTCAGTTCTTCTATGTTGGTCAGAAACTTGCACTGCGTGTCACGAAAAGGATTACCAACAGCTTGTTGCAGACTTTTATCAACAGCTGCCACCTTCGCTGGCTGGTTCCATACTGAAGATCAAATGGCCAGGAAGAATAAGTAACAAGAAACTCTGGCTGCGAACAAATCAACCAAGAGCTGATTGCTCAACAAATATGCAAGAGAAAATGGAGATGGATCAAGCATACGTTGAGGAGGCCGTCGAATGACATCTCGCATACAATGCCGGAGCTCTTGGTTGGTTTGTTCCCAGTCAGAGTTTCTTGTTACTAATTCTTTCTGGACATTTGATCTTCAGTATGGAGCCAGCCAGAGAAGGTGGCAGTTGTTGATAAAAGTCTGCTGTGACCTGTTGGAAATCCTTTTCGTGATGCACACACAGTGCACGTTCCTGAGCCATGTTGAATAACTAACTGACTGACTTCACACTTGTATTGAACGGAATCTAAATCTTGCTCTTTATGCTGACTGAGTGCAGGCAGAAGATTTTGAAACTGTTTTCAGGTTGACGATGACGATGTGTCTTGACTTTCCGATTCTGCTTGGCTTTGACATCTTCATCCGTTCCGACTGTCTGTGGTTGAAACGATTCTGGCTGCCTAGATAAGGGAAGGAAGTGACCTATGTTAAATCTCTCCCGTTGATGGTGATTGATGCTGGTTGTTGGTGTTGTGCTCTTCTCTGTGTTCACCTGCAGTCCTGTCTTCGCTGCCTGACAGCCAGCCAGCCAGCTACCAGTTTGTTGGTTTTCGCCTGCCTGCAAGTATTCGAGTTTGTGTAACATTAAAAATAAATCATCCACACGCGAAATCCAGATCTTCTAGAGTCTTCTTATTGGTCATTGTAACGTATTCCTATCTTCTCACTCCCACCACACAGTCTGACGCATAATCCAGTCCACCACAATTAAGAATATCATCCGTGGTGATAATAGGTAGCCAGCCCTGTCTTACTGTTGTATTCACTTCGAACGGCTCGCTGACTTTTCCGTTGTGGATCATCAGACACATGGCATTGTCTCTTCATTCATTGGGAAATACAAAGACTTTTGTAACAAATTACGTAATGTAGAAAGCGTTAATCGGGTAGAAACTACAATTGAGTAAAATAAATAAGTTGAGTGACGTAATATAATTGACGGGGTTGAGTGGAATTCAACTAAATTTTGAACGAGAGTCAAGTTAACAAGAGCGTGGTAATAAGGGGTGGGGAAAGAAAATAATACAATTAAGAAACAAAAATTACGTATCCAGTGTTAAGATAGATCAAGTCCACTGTAGATTTTTAATAATAATAATAATTTTCTTTATTCCAAAACAGCATTTGTGATACAGAATGGAATTCTCAGCATTTCACTACACTATTGCATCCAGTTTGTACATTAACAATAAATAAAATTCTACATAGATTAAGGGTAGTCTCAGTTAATTTTGACAACAACATATTAGCATATCGGCAGCAGCAAAGCCAAAAGTGAACAGAATGTTTGAAGGTGTTAGAAAAGTAGATACTAGCATATTTACTGGTGTAAGCGGTAACAAAAAGGTCGAGATATACAGAGTGTGAAAGAACGAGGAAGAATGTTTCAAGTAGAGTTTTTAAGGAAGAGAGAAACAAAACAGCACATAACAAAAAAAGAGAAAAGGAAAAGAAAGAAAGAAAGAAAACGTTGTACCTATAAATGTGATATCAGTTGGAAAGACGAGATCCAGTTGTTCTACTGACAATTTAATAAGTTATAGGTATCACGCTGAATGCTTTCCTTATCGCACAGAACACTAGCTAAGTAGGGTTGTACTTGCTAGTGCGAGCATATAGTTTTCTATATAGGCTTCTGGTTTTACCTGATGAGATCCAAGGGAAGAGTTGTGAATAAAGAGGGTGGTGTGAGTTAGATAAAATGAATTTAATGACTGAAAAAAACTTCTTTTTTATACAGAGTTCGGCGATGCTAACATGTGTATCGCCATTCCTTCAGCGGTTTGAAGACGTTTGATTCGTCGTACTCTTTTAGCAAGATTCCCAAGTATTCTGCGGATAACTTCTAAGTTCCTTTGTGGGTTAGCTTGATGTCCAGATTCGATGGGGTGTTCCAGGATGCTTTTTTCTGTTATATTGTAACAACAGAAGACAAGGGCCAGACAACAGATCGTTTATTTAGCAAATCAATACATATTTATAGATTTTCATGTACATTATTATGACAGATTATTGTAAGCAAACAAATACAGTCTTCTGATTGGTGGTTTCTCGTTGAACTTTAATCTTCCATTTCATTGTGGCCGTTTATTGAACTTCAGATTATCTATCTGCAAATTGTATCCGCCTACGCAAAGTCTGCTGTGATTGGTTGTTGAGTCAGTCTTTGTTCTTATTTTTCTCACACCGATATTTAGGACGTAAACATCGGCGTAAATTACTGTCTACCAATTTGGCTAGCAGCCAGCTTACACCACAATATGACTCAATGGTAATTTTGAAGGTTCATAATGGATCGCCAATTTGACATTAGTTTTCAAAATTCAGATCTTTCTCCTTACGAATGAATCGTTTACATTTCCACACCACGAATTTCAGAGTGGTGAACACGTCCCCATCTTGCCTTCGTCGTCATCTGTGCTACTTTGTGATGCGGAAACGATGCTACTTAGCGCTTAAGTAAAAGAAACAACTTCCTATAGGTGTTTTCACTACCTCTTCGGACAACGATTTGCTTTTCACTCGTAGATCGTTAAGTTTGTGCAATGCACACATACACAATTCGTACACCTAGTTTTGAGCCTGGAAAAAGAGGGAGTATTGGGAATAGAGCATGTAAAAATCAATCTAATCGTTCGATAAAGAAAGGAAGACCAGATTTGCAGTATAAAATGTGATGTCATCATTCTATTTCACAGGTTCTCCTCATCAGCTGCACACCACTACCTGAAATTACAATGGTTATATAGATGATAATAACATACTTTAATGTTTAAGTGGTAGTAGAGAAGAAAAAAATACTATAAAATTGACGCATCCAAAATGTAAGCAGCATTACAATTTCTTTAGTTTAAGTTTTCATCATCAATTTATACGCTTTCAAAGTAGAAAAGAGGGGGGGGAGGGCTAAGACAGAAAACAGAAAAAAATAATTAACAGAACAGTTTGAATAAAGCAAGGACAACAGTGGTTTGTGCAGAATAATATGGTACCATCATCGCTTATTTCGTTGGCTTCTCATCAGCTCAGCTGCTTACAGCCTAAATAAATTATGAGGTTTACCTACAGAAAAGTTTTAACATACTTGCAAATTTTACATGATGTCAGTTGACAGAAGGTTCCACAATTAGTGAACAGTACTCAGAAAATTGCGCTTATATAGTTTTTACACAGGCAGTTCAAGTTTAAACAAAATAAATGTATGCATACAATGGTCGTTTTCAGTGCACACAGAGTGAAGAGGAAGTGAAGAGCCAACAAGTAGAGGAGTTGCATTAGTAGAAGGAAGGCAAGATAATAGAGATGAAGATGAAGACAAAGGTGAGTGAGGATTAGAGAGGTTTCGCGTGCACTTCGGATTGTGAGGGCGATTGGTACTTCCCGGCTGCCCACACCGTGGAAGTTGGTTGCGTGACCGCAGAGTCCAGGGGACAACTGCTTGAGGCCGGTCACACACGGCCTGTTTTTGTTTGTTGTTTTTCATTTGGTGTATCTCAGTAGCACATTTATCACTTCTGCCCTGTGACACGGCAGCAGGAAGCGCGGTCGTTGTTAATCCGGGCCCCGACCGATCCGGCATGATATTTTGTGATTGATTTGAAGTCATAGGGTTGGATTGGGTAACTGCTTTTAGTCTAACCGCTATCCAAACAACCTTTCTGGCATGGTAGGACCTGCAGTAACATAAGTTCCAGCCAGTATAGCTTGTTGGGTCATTGCGGTGTTCAAGCCCGACCACCACGTCAAGGTAGCAGCTTTCGGTCGGGCATACAATGGTAAAGGAGTTACGTACTAAAGACGAGATATGCCTTAGACGGAGAGTGACTAATAAATTAGGCAACAATGTACTGAGTTCAACTCGAATCGTAGAAACAAGAGACAAACGAAATTATACTATATTAAAGGTTGGGGGTGAGGTTAAAGCCAGAGATTGCGTGACCATATGAAAGAGAGAGTAAGGATGTCCAGTTACCAGGTGGGTAAGGAAATACTGATAAATGCTTCCTTCTGAACACATAAATCTGGTTTCAAGCGTTTGATAGAAATTGCTTCGGCAAACTTGAGGCTTTCTTGATTTCCACCTAATGACACGTGACGAGGAGATGTCTGGTAATAGCGCTACTATAAGAGTTTATTTCCTAAAGACGTAGGCTTTTGGGCACATGTTCAGAAAATCGGAGGTGTGCCCTTCTTTCCGTTCTCCCAATGTAACTGCTCCCGAAGGTACACGTAAATTTGTATATACAGTTGCAGTTAACATGAGAAGGGTATCTATCGACTTTTGATTGCACCGAAGAGCATGTTGTTCGATGGACGGGAACCAACTTAGCTGCAGGATAGGCACAGGCTAATAACGTTCTCAGTCTTCTGTTGACCATTTCTGCAATGTTTTCACCTTTAAAATATAGTTGAATGAAGACAGCCTTTTTTCAACTGTGATTTATGTGGTATTTGAGCCTTCACATCTTCCATATTTGTTAATGAATCTTTGAGGATAACCATTGTTTTTCAGCACCTTTTCAAGGATCGTAAATTCTTCCTCTAGTTTCTCTGCAGAGCATATTCTCCTCGCTCTACAGTACAGAGTTTTGACTAGTGCTCGTTTATAGCTATTTTGGACAAAAACTATTAAAATGTAAGTATTGTCATTTCCATGTGGGCTTTCGGTAAATTAACCTCTAGAGACTACCATCTTACAGGCGTTGCTTTATTCAAATTCATCAAGGAGAATAAATGAATGGAGTAACAGAACAGTGTTAGCTTGTAGCTTGTTCACATAGCAACTCAAAAAACAAAAGCGGTTACAGTTTATAAGATTGAGATTTGTTCAGTGATGAGTTGAGATCACTGAATTAGATGACTAATTAATGTAATCAAAATCAAAATCAAAATTCAGTAACCAAGGGAGTGAGAGATTCATCACACTCTCTTTCAGTATGCATAAGTCTGGTTGGTTTTGAATCGTTTGACTGCGATTGCTTCGGCAAATCGTAGTAAATTTTGGCGTCTTTTGTCCATATACCCTTTTTTGAAGGACTTAGAATTCTCTACGAGATGACCAGTATCAACAATATGTCTGGTAGTTGCACTCTGACAATATTTGCTTCCTTTCAGGCACAGGTTTCTCGGAATATGTTCAGAAACAACCGGAAAAATCAATCTAATCGTTCGATAAACTTTATAGGACAGAAGGAGTTTATATATATATATATATATATATAGATTTAATTCAGTTTAATTTAATTACTGCTTACCTGTATCACGATTAAATAAATCCAATGAAACAGCATGTGCTAATGCCATAGATTTCCGACGCATACTATGCCGTTCAAAACTATCTTGTTCAGATATGACAGGCGATGAAGCACCAGTAAACATTGGACTTGGATAATCGCCAATACTACCGTCACCTCTACCTCCACCGCCAACGCCGCCACCACTCATTGATAGAAAATTCAATGAATTCTCATCTGATCCATATGGTGTTAATCCATCCGGACGTATACTTGAAGCTAGCCGACGTCGTGATGACTTGTCAGAATTCACTTCTCTAGCTCGTTGAAGTAAAGCTTCTGTGGATTGTAGATAAAAAAAATAGCAATGACAATGATAAAACAAATGAAGACGATGAAAGATACAGGACTAATTTGTGTAATGGTCGGTCAAACAGACAAGAAATCATTGATTGGACACTAGCAACTAGTGTGACGTGTCTAGTCCTTTCTTTGGTGCAGACTGAATTCTATCAGTCAGTCAAGTTTCCAATGTGGCCACCATGCACTGGGTACCTCTCCATCACGGTGCACATTGATTTGATGATATTAGATAATTGGAGGCAATCGGCCACCGGAATCCTTGCCTATCCTAGGTTTCGTGCTAGAATTCAGTCTGCACCAAAGAAAGGACTAGACACGTCGCACTAGTTAGTGACTAGTGTCCAATCAAAATACCCACTACAGTCCTACAGGAGGTCAATCGCTCGCTCTGGGTGACGTGGGTTCGAATCTCAGAAGGGACATGAGTTCCTTCAAGGGTGCAGATATGCCTTGCTGATGAGTGCCAACTAGCACGAAACTTAGGTCAGGCAAGGCTTCCTGTGGCCAATTGCCTCCAACTATCTAATGTAGACAAGAAATCTGTCTGTTGAAACTCAAAATACTCGAGGCACAATTAAATTTCTGAATATTCCAGTGGAGATTCTGTCATGAATTGACATTGGCTAAGAAGCACACAGCGGTTCTAAAGAAAACATCACAACCGATGCGTACAGATGTGAAGTAAAAATTCATTAGGAGTGCTCCATTATGGATAAGATTTTATTTTGATAAATCACACAGTGTTTTGTTATACAGTAATATTAACTGATGACCATGTTTCGAACACAAATTATTGCCACTCATAATCATATCAAGGAACCACTCACACAACTTTCTTGCTTCATTTATATACATGAATAAAAATTGATGATTAGACATTTGAATAAAAATCAATATGGGATAATGTACATTGAGAAATAATAATATGAGTGTTATCAATCAAGTACAATCAGATGGGAAATAAGACGAGTGTTTTTACAGTCAAAATAAATAAGTAACTTGTTCGAGTGTTATAATGTAACATTGATATAAGAATAAAACTTGGGCACTGTGGTAGAGTGTAATTCCATTATGGGTAAATTTTATTTTGATAGAGTCTCACAGTGTTATACAGTAATATTTACTGATGACGTTTCGAGCACAATTTATTGCTCATAATCATATCAAGGTAGGATTATGAGCAATAAATTGTGCTTGAAACGTCATCAGTAAATATTACTGTATAACACTGTGAGACTCTATCAAAATAAAATTTACCCATAATGGAATTATAATGTAAGTAAGATAAGTAATTTGGGAAAACACTCAGCAAGTGCACTACATGCATAGACACACAACCACACAATAGAGTGGGTGGGATAGGGTTAAAATTCGAAGAAGTAATCTATGTAGGTGGAGAGAAAGAGAGATTGATTACTGAATCCTTCCTTCGAGTCTACACCCAACACAAGCAACAGAAATGACTCAATGCAAATACCAGAGATATGCATGGAAGATATTATTACCACCAGTCAGTCAGTCAAATCAGAGGAAGATAATAAATAATCTTAAAATTCTATTTCAATTCAAGCACATGACAACATCCTAACAAGTTACTTATTATTTTGACTATAAAAACACTCGTCTTATTTCCCATCTGATTGTGCTTGACTCACAACACTCATATTATTACTTCCGAATGCACTTTATCCTATATTAATTTTTAATCAAATGTCTAATCATCAATTCCACTCATGTATATAAATGAAGCGAGAAAGTTGTGTGAGTAGTGACTTGATATGATTGTGAGTGGCAATAGTTTGTGCTCGAAATGTGTTCATCAGTTAATATTACTGTATAACACAACACTGTGTGATTTATCAAAATAAAATCTTATCCGTAATGGAGTTATACTCTACCACCATAGTGCCCAAGTTTTATACTTATATCATTAGGAGTGCTATTGGTTGTCCGTGACGTTGTCCTCATGAAATAATCGAAGTTCAATTCACAGGTGCTAACAGACTGACTAAAATGGCTTGATTCGTAGCCTAAAGGTCTTAAGTTCGACACCTGGTGACAGTCGTTAGTGTGTCATGTTTAAGAGTGTGAAATTAGGTAGAAACAGAGAGTCAAGTGCTCTCTGGCTTTCAACGATCCTCTAACTGATGTCGATTCGTGACAGAGTTCACATTTTTCACCGCCGAAATCCCTACAAAACCGGGTTATCAAAATCATGAATAATGCCTTCTGACATAGTCTTCGTTTGACACTTGAAATGGAAGCAGAACTCTGAGTCATTCATCGCGTGATCCGTTGCCTAGAGGTCATTAGTTCAAGTTATTCTAACCAACCTAAAATCAACATTTTGCTGCAATATTCTTGCTTTTCTTTTTGGTTCTCGATGTAGTTTTATGCAGTCATGTGAAATTGTAATGCGTCGCGGAGGGGGAGCGGGAAGGCTGGGGTCAATGGTAGGTAGAATGTTTGCCAATCACACCTCATGTGGTCCCACAGTTCGACCACCGGTCAACGCACACCTAAAATCCTGCTTAACTCGTAGATAGTAAGACCAGTAAAGAAGAAAGGTTGAAAAGGAGCGTGAGGCTAGCCATCCCACTCACCCGGAACACAAAGAAATAGAAAAAATTTCTACAAGATGAGGTGAGTTGAGCATTACAATAAACTGACTACAGGTAAGATAGATGATTGGAAGTATAGTCAGCATAGAAGCATTGGATGCAGAATTTTTCTATTTGTTGGCAATCGTTACAATAAGGGTCCCAGTGGCTGAATGGTATACGAGCTTGCCTTGTAACCGGAAGGTGTGGGTTCGAATCCCAGTGGGTGCGTACTGCTGATGGTTCCCAAACTAGGATGAAACAGCACCTGTCCAGTACTCCCTGGTTTCTTTGGGCTTTTCGATTACTGCGCTACATTTGCATAGTTACCTAAAACTCTGATTCTTGTGGAATATCTTGTCAAAAAGTTGCAAAAAACTATTACAATTATTTGCCTTTGAAACACTAAATCTTTGGATATAATTTTGTATATCAATTACACCTATAACTATCTATTTGCCACTCTGTGCTTGTTTCACACTAACTAATACCTATAATTGTATATACATATTGATGGATTTACATGTTCAAGTTGGCTCAAGTCAGTGAGTCTATGATTTTGGTATCATTTTGGTTAACTGTAATTGACTGTGATATTATTATTGTTATTGTCGCTTGTTACCCTTCTTGTTGTGAATTATTTTCCTTTTGATGGTGTTGTTCTGATTGCTTTATTCCTTGTTTTCTTGATTCTTAGGGGAGCAAACCACAAGGTCGCTTCTCTCTAAATTATAATTTAATGTAACAATCCCCCTTCTCAGGCGTGAGGCTAGCAACCCCACCCTGTAAACAAAGCAGCTACAGAAACTTCAGCACGATGAATCTCCTTGAGCCAAAAGAAAAAGTCTGTGTAGGGACATGGAATGTCCGCATCATGTACGAGATTGGTAAAGCTGCCCAGATCGCAAACGAGATGAAAAGATACAGAATTCAAGTACAGGGAATATGTGAAAGCAGATGGAACGGGAATGGATTCACCAAATTGTCAACGGGTGAGTCAGTGATCTACTCCGGTCACCCAGAAGATAACCCCTCGCACACCGTTACAATAAGGTGTGTATCTCTACAATCTCACAAGGAATGAAGCCTCCCTCCTTACAGAATGGAACCCGCATTAGCCAGTATCTCAATAAAAGACGTCATCGAGAGTCACGTGGATTTGAATCTCTGAAGGGTGGTCACCAGTTTCTTCAACACTGCATATACTGTATCCTACTACTGATTTCAATCATTCAGTAGTATGTTGCATTATGCGTTTATGCTTGCCTTTCTTGATTACTATTCATAGTATCAAGTGGATCTGAATAATATCGGTTCCCAAAGGAAACTGTGATAACATTTCACCCCCGAACTGAGTGATAATGTGTTTACTGCACAAAAATATGTGAGTCCACGGTTCAGTAGTAGAATGGTCGTCACCCACACCTCATATATTGGTCGGGTTTCGATTCCCGACAAGAGCATTCCTAAACCTCACCGAGTTTACTGGCTGATGATACAACGAGGAAAGGGGAGGGACTGAATCTAGCAATCCCAATCGTAAAAAGGCAACATCACTGCAACTGAAGTTGAAGAAATCTTGTTGGCAAGTTGGACAGATGAACCAAAATGAGAAATTTAAACTGCCCCCTATTTACTTCAAATTCATAGTGACTTTTTAAATAAATATATACCAGAAAGAGGTAGATGACGCTGAGAAGTTTCAAGAGTTGCCTTACAGGAATTCGGGTACCTTGAAAGCTAGGTCACAAGCTGAAATGGATTAGAGAATCAATAAAAACCAGCAGCAATAGTGGATAGTTGTTCTATCCTCAATTGGGACTCTTCAGTGGTAGGCACCTACCACCCAACCCAGGACCTTTAAGGTGATTAGGTGAGCCTGTTAACCCTTCAGTCGATAGGGCGTGGGATTGGATGGCTGATGAACACTTCTGCCAATTTTTGCTACATAATGCCACTATCATTGGTGAGTTACTGTCCTCACACCCAGCTTCGTGAATCCTCTGTTGGTAACGACTTTTCACTAGAACCCTGGACAACTTCATCCAGTAGCCAGTCACCAGTGAGTATTAGGTTGATTTGAACCTAGATCCCAGATGTCCAGTACTCTAACTGATATCATCTCGGTTATAGGATTGGATCATGATCTGACATCAGTTAGAGAACCATTGAAAACCTTCAAGGAGTGCTGGGCAGCCGTTTCCTCTTAGTTTGGGACTCTTCAACGGTACGCACCCATCGCCGGAGTTCGAACCCAGGACCTTCTGGTTACAAGTTGAGCTCGCTCGTAGACCATTAAGCCAATGGGACCCGATGCAACGGCCAGTCCATGAATTCCAATGTCTGCCAATTCACGACATAGTGCAACCACCAGCCAATGTTTTCAGCGATCTGCTGTACCCTACTGGTCACGACTCCCCACTAGAACCGCAGGCAACTGCCACCTACCTGAATAGGGCTAGTTGCTAGTGAGCATCTCATTGATATTCAAGTATTGGTTTTTGTAGGGATTTGATTGATTGGTTAAAGGATTTCATCATGAGCTGACATCGGTCGGTTAAAGAACCATTGGCAAACCAGCCAGGGAGTACTGGTACCGATGTCAGCTCATGATGAAATCCTGTTTGCAATCGATCAAATCACTACAAACCAATACTTGATATCATCTGGTTATCTAACACTAAAGCTTGTTATTTTAACAAAAATATAAGATAGAGAAGAGAATTTATCAAAGATTATGAACAAAAAATTACAATGAATACTGCTGAAAGGCATAAGAAGAAAGCCGGAACACTTACGAGCTGATTCACTGAAGTCGATCTGTCTTAAACACGATGTCTCTTCAAAATCTTTGAGTGTACCGACTGTAACACTGAAATGATACAAAGGACATCACAGATTATGCATAATGAATACAGAATAGCACATAGTAGAAAAGAAAACCTGAATAACTAACACGAATACAGAATTCAAGAAATCAACGACGGAACTTATCCTAGAAGGAGATGGCGAATAGAAAGATCTTAAAGTATATCATGGAAAAATGGTCATCTACTTGTTTCTCTGAATATATATTCTTTCAAAAACCCTTAGACTCAAAGATTTCCTATCTCCATGTTAAGTGGCAAAATATGGTAATTATGATTGCGATTAGAAACAGAATGTTAGGTCGTTAAGATATATCGACTGAGAGACAGCTAGGATATGTGTTAGGCAAGACGAGCCACTTCGTTTGCCATTGAGCTATGTTAATTTACATAGGATTGATCAGGTTGGAAAAGAGTTAGCTAGTGATGGTTAAACAAAAACATGGCTTCATAAGTCGATGAAATCCACAACGGTTAGTTTAAGCCTTCTACGTAGGGAGGTGTAGACTGCCTTCCTGACTGCTTGGAGTCCTCAAGATGGTAAAAACCAATAACGGCTAGAAACAATTGGTGATATTCATGAATAATCCCCATCCAGACGTTTATGAAAACAAAACACGAAGTTCAGCGAAGAGTCTCTTTTTTCAGCGGCGAATTAATTCACTCAGCTGTACAATCACAATTATATATATACTTATTTTTGTATGTGTGTGTGTGTGCATTAGGTTTGTCCGATAAGAATAAAAATTAGTTAGGGTTATTGTTATCAAGACATTTCAAAAATGTGATCAATAATCAAATTTTAACTAGGGTGGTTGGAGTTGAAGATTGGTTAGAGGGTTGTGGTGATGCGTTGTCCGAAAAAAAATATAGTTATTAATGTTAGTCAACACATAAAAGAAGTTGAATAAGCGTAATACAGTTACGTAATAAGATGAATAGTTTAATGAGTGAGTGGTGATTAGGATGCACATAGAAACAAAGGCTTTACTCAAGATCAAATGGCCGGAAAGAACAAGAACCAACAAGAAACTATGGGAACAAACAAAATAGGAACCAATCGCCCAACAAATATGAAGGAGAAAGTGGAGATGGATTGGACACTCACTGAGGAGGCCGTCGGACTCCGTCTGTTTTCGACATAGAACTTTGCACCAATGAACAGCAGTTCGAGTGGCCACGCTTCACTTCATGTAGCACACAAAGCAAGAGGAAGTAGAAATAATGCAAAATAGGGACAGTAGACAGAGATATGAGACAAAACGAAGAACAATATACTTACATTGAAAATTATAAGTCACAAAGAGTGGGTGCATCTGCACCAGCCATTAAGAACGATTCTGAGCCAAATCACCGATTGTCTCCAGTTTTCATTGGTTTCTACCGTCCCATGGACCCCAACCAGTCAAGAAGTCTACACCTTCCTACTTGTCTGGCTTAAACTGACTGTTGTGGATTTCATTCACTGCTGCCATGTTTTCGTTTGACCACCATCACTAGCTCTCTCTTTTCCAACTTGATCAATCCTATGTCAGCTAACATTGCACGTCGAGGAAGGCGATGGCTAGGCACGCATGCGTAACACATTTCCTAACCATCTCAGTAGATATAGCTTCACAGCCTCGTCGATCGATTTCCCCTCCTTACCTCGCCTACCACTCGACCGATGCCTCACCTCAATATTGTTCACCCTATTACACCTATCACTTAACACGGGAGATAGAATACAGACAATTTTGATCAAAGACAGATAGACAGCCTTTTCATGTCCTCCACTCCCAGTGGCCAGGTCTCACAACCATAAAGGAGGACGGAGCGAACCACTAATACCTTTTTGCAGCTATGCGAGTGAGTTTTCTTGAACCCTTTTGGACAGCATACGAGTCAAACGACCGATGTACCTGGCTATACAGAAACAGGTGAACTGATATATTGGTATTGTATTGTACATCCTAATCACAACTCACTAATTAAACTATTCACCTTATTACGCAACTGCATTACGCCTATTCAACTTCTCTTTTGTGTTAATGAATGTTTTTTGACAACATACCATCACTACCCTCTTACCAATCTTCACCCCACCCCTAAATCCCCCTAGTCACAATTTGATTATTCATCACATTTTTGAAATGTCTTGACAAAAGTAACCCTAGCTAATTTTTATTCTTATCGGACAAACCTAATGTACACATACACACATACAAAAATAAGTATATACAATTAAAATTGGTGATATGGCTAAACATCCTCGTTCTCAATAAGTGGCACAGATGCATTCTCTCTTTATTACTTATAATATCCAATAAAACTAACATTGTTCTTCAATATTACTGTTCTTTTTCCCTTTCTCTATTTTGAATCTTTCTTTTCTTGCTTTGTGTGCTACCAGGAGTGGGTGTGGCGACTCGAACTGCTGCACATCGGTGCAAAGCTCTACGTTGAAACCTTCAGTCAGTCAGTCAGTCAGACGTGAGGAGCTGTGGACAGCCAAACTGTGATTAATATAATTTTTAGAATCAATGGCTGTAGACTATTGATGAGATATTCTAAAAACTGTTTTCAATGGTGCAGATATGTTCACTCCACCTAGTTGTAATCTATTGGGTTCATTAAATCTTCATGTGTTTTCCCATATTAGTACTCTTGTAACAACAGAAGACAAGGACCAGACAACAGATCGTTTATTAAGGAAAATCAACACATATTTATAGATTTTAATGCACATTATCGTAGATTGTTGTTAGTAGAAAATACAGTCGTTTGATTGGTTGTTTCTCACAGAAAGTTAACCTTGCATCTCCTTGTGGCTGTGTCAGATCATCCATATGCTGATTGTATCCGCCTACGCAAAGCCTTTGTTCTCATTTTCTCACCACCAATATTGGGGACTTAAACATTAACGTCAATTACTGTCTACTAACTTTGGCTAGCAGCCCGCTCTCACCACACTCTTACTTCCTCACATATTGCTGCTTATTATTGTTCTTTTGAATCACCTTTTCTCCTTTGTCACCCTTTTTGTACTTCATGGAATGTGGCGACTTGAAGTGCTACACTTCTGTGCAAAGTTCTAGGTTCAAACTAAGTAGTCAGTCAGATTCCATAGTTCCTAGTCCCTACCACAATCACCACCACCACCGTGGCAATAATTGGCAAAACAACTAATCGAATCGAAACAGAGAGTGCATCTGACGAGTAGATTTACTCTACTCAACAAACACATAAATCCAAATACTTTATTAATATTATCATTATTCCCTTGCGTTCCAAGTGGAACATAGGGCTTCAACAACACGTCTCCACATTGTTCTACTTCCTGCTATTCTCTTCATCTGGCTAGCCTTACGATTGCCCATAATCTCCCATCTCCTCCTCTTTCTCCTCTCCACACGATCTCCTCCATGTCACCCTTTCACCAACGACCCACTAGTCGCTTCCTATTTGGAATCTACTCGAGTTATGGCCTGCATTGTGCGCGATGTCATTCGACGGTCTTCTCAATATATGCCCAATCCATATCCATTTTCTCCTACATATTTGTTGAACAATTGGCTCTTGCCTGTTAGTTCTTCGCCAGCCAGAGTTTCTTCATACTAATTCTTTCTGGCCATTTGATATTCAGTATGGAGTGAAGGCAGCTGTTATTGAAAGTCTGCTGTGACGTGTTGGAAATCCTTTTCGTTAACACACCAAATTTCTGACCCGAATAGATGGACCGACTTACTGCATCGTTGTAAGATATTTAAGAAAAACTTTTCGAATCCTATTTAACATTTAAATTTATCCAATAACTAGTGTCTTTATATAGTACCTAATTTCAGCGGAGATATCTCACAGCCACAGAGAATGATGGGGAGATCTGCTGAGCAATTGACACCTCTGCTGATCCGTAGCTGGATATCATTATTCTTATTATTTCCTTTAATTCCTAGAGGAACATAGGGCTTCAGCTGCACGTCTCCATTGCGTTCGGTTCTCTGCTGAAGTTTTCACCTGGCTCCACGTCTGCCCACATGCTTTCATCTCCTCTTCACATGACCTCCTCCATGTCACCCTCATATTGACGACCAACTCGCCGCTTCCCGTTCGGGTTCCACTCAAGAGCCTGTCTAGTGATGTCACTTGATGGTTTCCTCAGAGTATGGCCAATCCATCTCCATTTCTTCCTGATTATTTGTTTCACAATCGGTTCCTGCTGGGTTGGTTCGCTCCTGAAGATTCCTTCCTGTTGCTGATCTTTTCTGGCCGGTCATCTGATCTTGAGTATTGAGTGAAGGCAGATGTTGATGAAGGTGTGTAGTTTGTTTGAGATGCTCTTTATAACGTGCCAAGTCTCTGATCCGTATAGTAGCACTGACTTCACATTGGAGTTGATACTCCGGATCTTATTTTTGATGCTGAGTACTGTTGACCTCCACACAGACTTGAGAGTCATGAAAGCTTGTCTTGCTTTTCCGATCCTTCCGATGCTTCCCAGGTAGGTGGGTAGGTAAAGGAGGTTGTTTCTTTCAGGTTCCTTTCATTTATGCTGATTGTTGTCTGTTGTTGTTGTTGCCCAGGAATCTTCATCACATCAGTAGCTGGATATCAAGTAAGCGCCAGAGATGACTATAATACAACAGAGAGAGAGATCTCAAGAATCTAGGAGGGAGGGGAAGGTCTTCGTAATTCTTCTTCCATCAACAGCTATGTACTTCCCCCCCCACCTAATGTATGTTATTAAGTAGAATGAGAACAAAAATAATACTTTGAACACTATTCAGATTGGAAAAAGAAGAGATGTCTAATTTTTTAACCAAGTTTAAACATGAAATAATAATAATAATCATAATAATAACCTACCGTGTCGCATTCATATAACCTGTAGCCATTTTCTTAATTGCTGCAGATAATGCAGGTGGCATACTTGTTCGACCTTTTACAAAAATGTAAAAATAAAACGACAATGGTGCTTTGAAGGTATGAAATAAAGTAAAAACTTAGCTCAATGTAAAATCAATCAACTCAATGTTACTCAATAACCACTTACACAATTCCATGCATAGTTGGAAATGAGCTGGTCACACTTATTGCGTGTGTGAGGTGATTATACTGACCAAGGCCGTCCAAATTTCAACGCATGGAGCAGGGTTCGAACCCCCGACGTATTGGTTGAAAGTCGAATGCCTAAAACACCAATGAGCCATAGCTACTAAACATAAGGTTGCCTACAATCACTTTGAGGGTATGGTGTGATCACTGATGGTTATTTTGATCGAAATATTACCGAAATCAAAGCACAACACAACTCATTTATTGTGTGCGAGCACCGATTACAAATACAATTACAATGGACTCATAACAGTTTGTGCAGAGTAAAAAGATGGTACCATCATTGTTTATTTCGTTCGTTGGCTTCTCATCAGTTCAGCTGCTTACAGACTAAATAAATTATTATTATTAAGTTCATGTACAGAAACACTTTTAACATACTTGCAAATTTTACATGATGTCGCTTGACACAAGGTTCCGCAATTAGTGAACAGTGTTCACAAAATTATGCTTATATAGTTTTTGCACAAGCAATTCAAGTTTTAAACAAGGCAAATGTTTGCGTACATTGGTAAAGGTGTTACGTAATAAAGATAAGAAGTGTCTAAGATGATGAGTAACTAATAAATTAGGTAGCAATGTACTACTGAGTTCAACTCAAATCGTAGAAACAAGAGACAAGCGAAATTACACTATATCAAAGGTGAAGGGAAGGTGAGGTTAAAGCCAAAGATTACATAATCAAATGAAAGCGAGAGAATAAAGACATCCAGTCAAGGAAAGACTGATAAAAGCTTCTTTCTGAACACATAAATTAGGTATCAGGCGTTTGATAGAGATCGCTTGGGTAAACTTGGGGAGAATCGAGCTATTTTGTATATTGATAATTTCGAAGGATTGTGCTATGCCCACCTGATAACCCCCACATCAAGGAGATATCTTGTTCCCTTGAGACGTAGGCTTTCGGGTAAGTGTAATTTTCTGACCACTGTTCATTGAGTCTGCAGCCTTCTGTCAACTGACATTACGTAACTTTTGCAAGTATGGTAAAATTGTTCTGTACATAAACTTAATAATATCTTTCGGCTGTTCGCAGCTGATGAGTAGCCAAAGAAATGAACCACTGTTGTTCTTCTTGCTTTAGTTGGCCGTGGCAAAGAAAGAGCCTGTACAAATTTTTTTTGAACACAACACAAACGTGGCTTGTTCAGATGATTTCCGATTGCTTCTGCTGTATGTAAAAGTCGTGCTCGCAGACCATGAGAAAGGTTGGGTGGAATACGATAAATCACTATAAAAGCTTTGTTATAGTCAACTTGATATCCAGTATCGACGAGATGAGCTAGTATTGAATTGTGTATACCTTAATTCTGAGCTCTGCGAAAACAAGATGGGAAGTGTTCAGAAATTCGACGATGAACTTGCCTGATCGTACGCTCAATGTAACTAGCTCTGCAAGAGCAGTTAAACTGGTGTACAGCCGATAATGAGGAACTAATTGAAAAGGAATATTTCGATAGAGAAAAAAAGACCAGATTTGCAGTGTAAAATGATATCATCATTCTATTTCACAGGTTCTCATCAGCTGCACACCACTACCTGAAATTACAATGGTTAAATAAATGATAATAACATACTTTAATGTTTAAGTGGTAGTAGAGAAGAAATACTATAAAACTAACGCATCCAAAATGTAAGCAGCATTACAATTTTTAGTTTAAGTTTTCATCATCAATTTATACGCTTTAAAAGTAGAAAAGAGCGGGGAGGGGTAAGACAGAAAACAGAAAAAATTAATTAACAGAACAGTGTTAGCTTGTAGGTTCACATGATAACTCAAAAAACAAAAGCGGTTACAGTTTAAAGGATTGAGATTTGCTCAGTGAGTTGAGATTACTGAATTAGATGACTAATTATCAATGTAATCAAAATCAAAATTCAGTTACCAAGGGAGTGAGAGATTAATCACACTCTCTTACTGTATGCATAAGTCTGGTTGGTTTGAATCGTTTGATTGCGATCGCTTCGGTAAATCATAGTAAATTTCGGCGTCCTTTGTCTATTTAATATTTTGAAGGACTTAGAAATCTCTATGAGATGACCAGTATCAAGAAAATGTCTGGTAATTGCACTCTGAGAATATTTGCTTCCTATCACACCACTCCCCACCCACTCTTTTCTACTTTGAAAGCGTATAAATTGATGATGAAAATTTAAACTAAAGAAATTGTAATGCTGCTTACATTTTGGATGCGTCTTCTCTACTACCACTTAAACAATAAAGTATGCTATTATCATGTATATAACCATTGTAATTTCAGGTAGTTGTGTGCAGCTGATGAGGAGAACCTGTGAAATAGAATGATGATATCATATTTTATACTGCAAATTCAGTCTTTCTTTCTCTATCGAAATTTATCAATGTATCTGCGGGAGCAGTTACATTGGAAGAAGAGAAAGAAGGAGGGCATATCTACGATTTTCTGAACATGTACCAAAAAGCTTATGTCTAAAGGGAACAAATGCTTTAAACAATGCCATCGTCAGGCATCTCCTCGACACGGGTCATGAGGTGGACGTCGAAAAGTCGTTCAAAATGATCAATAAGCAAAAGAGCTCAATTCTCCTTAAGTTTGCTGAAGCCATTTCCATCAAGCGCCTGAAACCTGATTTGTGTGTTCAGAAAGAAGCGGTCATCAGTCTTCCTTTGCCCTGGTAACTGGATATTTTTCATCTCTCTTTCATCCGAATGCGAAATGCTGAAAAGTTTTCATTGTGTATGATTATTATTGTTCGGAATAGTGTTGAATATTATATAAATATATGTATATATTCTTACTGTATACATATATTGGTTGATTGATTTTTGTTTAAAATGAACTGTGTGCAAATTTGTTAAAATTGTTTCTGTAGATACATTTAATAATGACTGTAGCCAGCAAGCAGCTGATGAGGAGCCAACGAAATTAACAATGATGGTACCATTTTATTCTGCAAAAACCACTGTTGTTCTTGCTTTATTCAAATTCCTTAAGGGGAATAAATGTAGGAAACTTTGAAATTAGTCTAGAAATCTGCACCGCCTTCAGTATAAGGAAGAAGATCCGGATTTTCAAAACAATAAAGTCAAGTAATCAGTCAATGCTACCATGTGATTCCAAAACTTAGCAAGTATATCAGCGAAAACTATTCAAAAAGACTCCAAACTTTCATCAATATCTTTCTCCGTCAGTTCAATATAGAGGATCACATAGCCAGTCAAAAAGCATTAACCACAACAAGGAACTCTGGGAAGGAACCCGCCAAAAACCTGTTGCCGAAAAATAATGAAGAAGGGAATGGAGATGGATAGGACTGGTGAGTGACATCACGTAACAGGCCCTCGGGTGGATATCGATTGGGCAACGGTGAGTTGCGTATCAATCTGAGGGTGACATGGAGGAGATCGTGTGTGTGTGTGTGTGGTAGAGATGACAGCTTACGTCACCCTAGAACTGACGACCAACTCGCCACTTCCCATTCGGGTTCCTTTCTAGTGATGGCTTGGCGTGTGATGTCACTCATTTTATGGCCAATCCACCTCCATTTTTTCCTGCATAATTGTTACACAATTGGTTCCTGCTAGGTTGGTTCGTTCCCAGAGATCCTTATTGCTGATCTGATCTTGAGTAGTATTGAGCGAAGACAGCTTTTGATGGAGGTCTGTAGTTTGTTCGAAGTGCCCTTCGTGACGTGGTGCAGCGCCAAGTCTCTGATCCGTATAGTAAGTAGCACTGACTGACTTCACATTGGAGTTGAAAATCCGCACATAAAGATAACCTGAAGTCAATTCAGCCCCTACAATTGAACACTTGTCAACTGAGGTTTTCAAGAGTTAATTTATAAGGATTTGACTCCAGTTAGAGAACCACTGAAAACTAGCCAGTACTTGACACATTTTCTTTGTGTCCTACATTGCGACTCTTCATCAGTACTCACCACCCATGACCTCTAGACCGAGGATCGAATCCAGAACTCTCAAGTCACAAGGAGAACTTGTTGACCATTAAGGCTACTACAGGATGGCGGGGAGAAGGTGGAGGGAATTCAACGATCCATGCATGAATTCAAGCCTATTATCATTTATTATAGGTTTTTAAAAAATCAATACAAAAAGAAGGCGTGTATTATTTACCTGAACGAAAATATCGACGATATATTGGAAATAAGAGTAATGGACGTCCAGGACTAGTCCATGCATGTTTCAAATACCCAACACATGTACGAAAACAGTCTAAAAGAAATTCCACATCTAAATTTAAATAAAACGCTTGATGATCGAAGAACTGTACAGGGAGAGAAAATAAGAACAAAAACAGGAGAAATTAACAAGAAAAAAATATCAATCCAAATGTGACTTACAAAAACTATAAAAACACAAACAGATTTCAATTCAATATGCATATGTAGGAGATGGGGATGGATCGGATCTATTCTGAGGAGATGGCTGAGTCACGTTATACACCAGGCGCTCGAGTGGGACTCGAATGCATAACGACGAGTTTGACTTCCGTAGGTAACAACTCCTGAAGATTAATCAGATTCTCGCTAGTGACTTGCAAAAGGATGGAGTTTCCAGGAGTTTTAGTGAGAAGTCATGACCAGTGAGGTCCATCTAGTCGACAGTGAGGATGGATGATATTGGTTGGTGTCAGTAGCGCTAAAAATCACCAATTAGTAGAAGTTGGAATTCTGTCTGTCTGTCTGTTTTCGACATAGAACTTTGCACATTTGTGCGGCAGTTCAAGTCGCCACAATCCATGTAGAAGTTGGAATTCATAAACTGCCAACTGAATCGGGTCCCAGTGGCTGAATAGTATACATGAAATTGCCTTGTAACCAAAAGGTCCTGGGTTTGAAAGCCTTCTGTGGTGAATGCGTACTGCCGATGAGTCCCAAACTAGGACGAAACAGCTGTCCAATACTCCCTGGTTGGTTTTCAACACTTCTCTAACTGATATCAATCCGTCGTCAAACTCGAGAAATATACGCAATACTCCTAAGAAATTTTTAATTTTGCGGTACGTTTGACACACAGAATGTACGCACGTAAAAATAATCATACACAATTGTGATTGTACAGTTAAATGGATGAATTTGCTGAAAAGAGACTCATTACTAAACTACATATTCCTATTTCCATGATTACTGTAAGTTGAATTGAACTGAAATTCTAACGGTAGGTCAAATGTTTAGAATACTACTAACATCTTCAAATCAGTAGTATGATATGTTTACACAAATATCAAATATTTAAAAAAAGAAAAAACTGCTACACTAACTAACCTGAGGCAGAAATGCTAATGTTTCATCACCTAATCGATAAAATTGACTCGTTGAAAATATGCCAACTTCACCAGTGGATCGTCCACTTAATGACAGCTTTTCACATGCACCTATTTATATAAGAAACAGGGGATAAAAACACGATTTTAGATATCAGAATTAGTACTAAAAAAACTGTGTTCATTTTTTTGAGTTTCGCACTTGACAGCTACTCATCAGAGCAAAGCATAATTATTATTATCTTCTCTTTGAAAAACAATTGGGCTACTGACATCAAGTGAGAATGAGACATCTTACAATTATAAAACACAGAATAATTGAGCAAAGAATATCCTTTTCGATAATTTCCTCTTCTGGCTCTACAATTTTATATATATATATATATAAGACAGGAGTAAGACAAGGTTGCATACTATCGCCAATGATTTTCCTGATTGCAGTAGATTGGATAATGCGACAGAGAGCTGGCAGCGAGGAGACAGGCATAAAATGGACTCACACAAAAAACATGGAGGATCTGGACTTCGCCGATGATATATGTCTGATTTCCCACAAACTGGAAGATATGCAAGCGAAAAGTAACAAGTTGGTAGAAGAAGCATCAAAGATAGGACTTCAGGTGAACATAGAGAAAACAGAGGCGATAAAAATTCCTCGACAAGAACAACAACAACAGACAACGATCAGCATAAATGGGAGTAACCTGAAAGAAACAACCTCCTTTACCTACTTACCTGGGAAGCATCGTTTCAACTACAGGCGGATGGAACTGATGAGGATATCAAGGAAGCAAGGATCGGAAAAGCAAGACAAACTTTCATTACTCTCCAGTCTGTGGAGAGATCAACACTAAGCACTCAGCATGAAAAAAAGATCCGGATTTTCAACTGAAATGTGAAGTCAGTGCTATTATACGGATCAAACACTTGGTGCGTCATAAAGAGCACATCAAACAAACTACAGACCACTATCAATAGCTGTTTAAGCTCATTACCTCTCAGGATCAGGTGGCCAGAAAAGAACAGCAACAAGGAGGGATCTCTGAGAGCGAACCAACCCAGTAGGAACCGATTGTGCAACAAATATGCAGGAAGAAATGGAGATGGATTGGCCCTACTGTAAGGAAACAAACCATCAAGTGACATCACTAGAAAAGCCCTCGAGTGGAACACGAAAGGGAAGCGGCGAGTTGGTCGTCAGTGCAAGGGTGACATGGAGGAGGTCATGTGAAGAGGAGATGAAAGCATGTGGGCAGACTTGGAGCCAGGTGAAAACTCTAGCAGAGAACCGAACGCAATGAAGACGCACGGCTGAAGCCCTAGGAATTAAAGGAAATGATAACACAATAATAATATATATGTTTATATACATAGAGTATTCTGGAATAGTAGTCATGAACAATATTAGTGTTTTTTTTAAATAATATTGATTCGTTAAATAAGATCGCAGTAGAATTACAGTTCACGAAAAATGCGTAAATTATCATAAGCATAAAAATATGATATCAAAAAGAATATAAACTAAAATTATGGATAAAAGATTTAAATGTTGACAATAAATTCATTCGACGTATCTTCCTTATTCACCAATGTACCACTTATGGAAACAGTGAACTTTGTATGCGAAGAACTCATAAGACGAAACATCAATGTTGGCATTCCTGTATCTTTTATAAAAGAGCTTCTGTTGAAATTCAAAATGAGTGTTCACCTTTTACTTAATAAGGAACTATACAGACAAATCGATGGTGTGGCAATAGGGTTACCACTAGGACCGATTCTAGCCGACATTTTCCTTGAGAAACTAGAAAATGAACCTTTGAAAGGTGTAATTGATAAACTTGAATTCTACTTGCGGTACATGGATGATACATTTTTGATTATGAAAAATAAGGATGAAGCAAAGAACATCCTGCCTGGACAAATTCAACGACGTTCATCCAGCAAGAAATTTTACCATCGAGAATGAAAAAGACTCCAGTATTCCGTTTCTAGACGTCCTTATGACCAGAAAACAGGATGGCACAAGAAGAAGAAGTGTATATATAAAAGCTACATGAACTGGTCAGTATACTCATTTTTCAGCTTCCTGCCTTTGAAATACAAACGCAATCTGATAAAGTGCTTGGTCCACCACAGAGAAAGAGCAATCTGCTCACATGAATGTCTTGATGAGGAACTTAATAATATTAAACGGTTGCTGAGTGAAAATGGTTATCCAGAAAAGTTTATTGATAAGAATATGAATCTAAAATCAAAGCAGCTCAAGGTACCAACAGTTCCTAAAAAGGCCTTATTCTTACAAATGCAGTTCCTCGGGGACAACATCAGCGAGATACTAACACAGTGCCTTAGAAATGCGTTAAAACGGAAGGCATTCCCTGCTGATAAATTACGATGTGTCTTCAAAACCACCCACCCCTATTTTGCGTTCGGGAATAGAAGACAAACTGCCTAATTTCGCCTCTTCCATGTGTATCTACCAATTCAAATGCTCCTGTGGAGTGAGCCAGTTACATAGGCCGTACAATCAGGCGTGTTTCTCATCGAATTTCCGAACATTACCCGGTGTAGTTAAGTAGAGGACAAGCAAAATCTATTCGTAGCGCTATTCTATCTCATCTTGTGGATGTAGAACACAAGATTGATGTTAACGAGGCAGCTTTCAAAGTCATTTACTGCATACCAACCAACAAATCTCTATTTCGTCTAAAGAGTTTGATTACTAAATATTGCTGAGGCTGGCTGTAGGGATCCATATTAAAAAGCCTAATTTATGCATCCAAAAAAAGTTAGTTCAGACATTATTCTTACCCACTTGGCCATCTAGGTTTGAATGATCCTCAATTTTTTGTGGAGATTTCCTTAATTTGAGTTGATATTCTATTCGCTACTATATCTTTATTATTATTATTATTTAAGCATCTTTAATGAACTGTAATTCCATTGTGATCTTACTTCACGAATCGATATTAATTTTCAAGTATTGGTTTTGTAGGGATTTTGTTTGATTGCATGGAGGGTTTCATCATGAACTGACATCAGTTAGAGAACCACTGGAAAACCTGGCTTTCCACTAGAATTTCACGTCACTGCCTGAATAGCGCCATTCGCTAGTGAGCATCAGTCGAACTATTGCATGAATTGGCAGAAGTTAGAATTCATGGCCACTGGGCCAGTACTCCCAGGTTTTCCAGTGGTTCTCTAACTGATGTCAGCTCATGATGAAACCCTCTATGCAATCAAACAAAATCCCTACAAAACCAACACTTGAAAATTAATCTGATGCTCACTAGCGACTGGTCCTATTCAGGCAATTAACCTGGAGTTCTAGTGGGAAGCCGTAACCAGTAGAGTACAGCGGGTTGAAGATGAGGCAGTAACTCATCGAAGCAGACATTGCGAAATGGTCGCACTTTGTTGTGAATTGGTAGAAGTTAAAATTCAAAGACCATTGGATCGTGTCCCAGTAGCTCAATGGTCTACGAGCTCGCTTTGTAACCAGAAGGTCCTGGGTTCGAACTACAGTTGGGCGGGTGCGAACCGATAAAGATTCCCAAACTAGGGCCACAGAAACAGCTGTCCAGGACTCTCAGTTAGTTTTCCGATGGTCCTCTAACTGATGTCAGCTCATGATGAAACCCTCCATGAAATCGATATTATTTAAAAAACACTAATATTGTTATTGACGACTATTCTAGAATATTTTATGTATATAAACATCATATATATAATTATAGAGCCAGGAGAGGAAATTATCGAAAAGGATATTCTTTGCTCAATAATTATTTTGTGTTTTATAGATGTCTGAATGAATATTTTCTCTATATTAACATCTTACAATTTACCAGAAATATGTTCTGAATGGTCCTCTAGAAACCACTGGATTATGTGTGTAAGCATTGCCCATTGAATGCTTAGTCAGTTACTATCCGAGGGAAACCACTTTTAAGAACACAAACTAGCCATCAAAAAACACGACATGTACAGAGAGCTAAAGGCCGTGTGAAAATTTGAAAAACCCTGAAAATGCTAGAAATGTCAGACAACTCTTAGAAACCTAATGGTACTCCAGTCAATTTAACCAAATAACAGACATACACACTAACAAAGGTCAAATTTATCAACCAATAAAGAACAAAATTACATGACGGAAAAAGTGACTAACAGGTCAAATTAAAAATTTAAATTAAAGGGTCAATACTTATCAAAACAAAAGGTAATACAAAGATGATAATAAAAAGTCTTGAAGACAACCAATTACAGCAAAGGTCACCAAGAGAGAGAGAGAGAAAGATAGTTATTGTTGTTAGATTATTGACAGAAATCAACAGGAAACTCTAGACCTAGATTTCGTGTTTTTTTGACACTCATCAGCATGACTGACTCATCTGAAGAAACTTATGCCTTTCTAGGTATCGAACTCGAGTTGCCTAGTGGGTGGTCTGAGACATTAACGATGAAGCTATACCGGGCATCGATGTGCTGCAAATCAAGTTGCCACACTCCACTCCATGTAGCACACAAAGCCAGAGAAGAAAGTAAGAAGAAATGCAAAATAGAGACAGTAAACAGAGGTGCGAGACAAAGGAATAGTAATATCGAAGAACAAAATAGTTTCATTGGGTATTATAAGTAACAAGAAGCGGATGCATCTGCGCCAGCCATTGACAACGATTTTGACCTATAACACTGATTGTCTCCAACCATTGGCGCTTACCATCCCGAGGACCCCAAACAGGAAGTCTACACCTTCCTACGTGGCTGGCTTAAACTAACTGTTGTGGATTTCATTGACTGGTAAAGCCATGTTTTGTTTTAACCAACACTAGCTCTTTTCCAACCTGACCCTATGTCAGCTAACATTGGCTGTTGTCGAGGAAGGCGATGACTAGGCATACGTAACACATATCCTAACCATCTCAATCGTTGTAACTTCACAGCCTCGTCGATTGATTTCCCCTCTTTACCTAGCACTCGACGCCTAACCTCAATATTGCTCACCCTATTACACCTTCCACTTCACACGGGAGATAAAACGCAGACACCTATGATCAAAGACAGCTAGCCAGAATTTTCATGTCTTCCATTCTCAATGGCCACGTCTAACT